CTACAGCGCACTGAAGATTGTTTCAGATCCGCGGACAGTGACCGTATCCAATGCGGGAGAAAGCGTATTTATAAAATTAACTTAGATTTATTAGTGTTGCACCATTATTTTTACATAATATAACAATATACAATTTCAGTAGGCTACCGTGTCTTAGAGTGACGGACTGTGCCATCTCCGTGGCCTCCGCAATGGATTAGTCCACTGAGACGGGCGCGAATCAAACCGGTGTCTTGTGCACCATAAAAATAAATATTTAAATTGAAATAAATATCGACTAAAGAAATCTCGGTCGACCAACAGCCTATCGAACAAACAATCGACTAGTCGACTAAATGGGTGTCAGCCCTAATCTAAACCGCTGTGAAATATATTTTCAAAACCACAATATAGTATTTCCAGCAGTTTGAAGCTGGTGTACAAAACCGAACATAAAAGATGAAAAAACTAAACTGAAGAACGGGTAGCATAGAAATAGAGCACATAGAACAGATCTACCGCTTCTTAGACTTGCTTTCAATGAGAATGACAGATCTATTACACACATTTCTATGTGCATTTGGTTGGGTGGCATAATGCAGCTTTAACGTTTGACATTTTTAACGGGGTAGTCTGTTTCCGCACTGACCCTTTTAACCGCAACACACAACGTGCTCTGCTGTGCTGTGTGCCAAAGATGGTGGATAAATGAAGATGTCCCACGCAGGACGTTTACCATTGAAAAACATTGTCAGTTCCGATCTGCTTAACGGGGTGGCTCTCCCAAAGGCACCAATTCATTAGCAGCTGGGTCTGGTCTGCTTAGTTTACTTATTGTAATGTAACCAGCATTTTTATGAGTGGGATCTCTCTCTTCCGTCTCTGCTGTGTGCGCTCGGTCTCGGCAACTAACAGCTGCTGTATAGCTGTCAGTCTCTCTTGTGGTGCTTAAACACCACTATGCGTGCAGCTTTGAGTAACAATCTTGGACGAAAACGTATGGAATGTTCAACCATCAACATATTCCCAAGCAAAACTTAATTTGAATGCCTCTTGTTTCAACTCTTAATTTCCCACAATGATTTTAATCAGAACAGGACATCCATCCATTTAGCTACGTTTTCTGTTGTAGTTCTCATGTCAAATGATTTAAGCAAATTATCCTAGTTCTAGTAGTAGCAGCTTGTGACTAGTGCATGTTGAAGAACATGGATAAGTAGCCTATGCTAGATCTACTAATAGCTGTTTGATATTTTACATGAATTTAGACCTAATCTGTTGTTATTGTCTTAGAATATAGTTTATTTGGTGTTTTCTTCCCCTATAATCAAAATACACAGTGTACAAAACATTAGAAACACCTTTTTTAATATTGAGTTGCACCCCCTTTTGCCCTCAGAACAGCCTCAATTCGTCTGGGCATGGGACTCTACAAGGTGTCGAAAGCGTTCAACAGGGATGCTTGCCCATGTTGACTCCAATGCTTCCCACAGTTGTGTCAAGTTGACTCGATGTCCTTTGGGTGGTGGACCATTCTTGATACACACGGGAAACTGTTGAGCGTGAATAACCCAGCAGTGTTGCAGTTCTTGACGCACTCAAACCGGTGCACCAAGCACCTACTACCATACCCCGTTCAAAGGCACATCACTCTTTTGTTTTGCCCATTCACCCTCTGAATGGCACACATACACAATCCATGTCTCAAGGCTTAAAAATCCTTCTTTAACCTGTCGTTTCCTCCCCTTCATCTACACTGATTTTAGTGGATTTAACAGGTGACATCAATAAGGGATCATAGCTTTCACCTGGATTCACCTGGTCAGTCTGTCATGGAAAGAGCAGGTGTTCCTAATGCTTTGTAGACTCAGTGTATATTATACAGTGCATTCGGAAAGTATTCAGACCCCTTGACTTTTCCCACAGTTTGTTACATTGCAGCCTTATTCTAGAATGGATTAAGTAATTTTTTTCCCTTGATCAATCTACACACAATACCCCATAATGACATAGCAAAAACTGGTTTTTAGAAATGTTTGCTAATGTATAAAAAAATCAAAATAACGGATTTCATATTTACGTAAGTATTCAGACCCTTTACTCAGTACTTTGTTGAAGCACCTTTGGCAGCGATTACAGCCTGGAGTCTTCTTGGGTATGTCGCTACAAGCTTGGCACACCTGTATTTGGGGAGTTTATCCCATTTCTTCTCTGCAGATCCTCTCAAGCTCTGTCAGGTTAGATGGGGAGCGTTGCTGCACAGCTATTCTCAGGTCTCTCCAGAGATGTTGGATCGGGTTCAAGTCCGGGCTCTGGCTGGGCCATTCAAGGACATTCAGAGACTTGTCCCGAAGCCACTCCTGCGTTGTCTTGGCTGTGTGCTTAGGGTCGTTGTCCTGTTGGAAGGTGAACCTTCACCCCAGTCAGAGGTCCTAAGCGCTCTGGAGCAGGTTTTCTTCAAGGATCTCTCTGTACTTTGCTCCATTCATCTTTCCCTCGGTCCTGACTAGTGTCCCAGTCCCTGCCGCTGAAAAACATCCCAACAGCATGATGCTGCCACCACCATGCTTCACCGTAGGGATGGTGCCAGGTTTTCTCCAGACGTGACGCTTGGCATTCAGACCAAAGAGTTCAATCTTGGTTTCATCAGGCCAGAGTCTTGTTTCTCATGGTCTAAGAGTCCTTTAGGTGCCTTTTGGCAAATTCCAAGTGAGCTGTCGTGCCTTTTACTGAGGAGTGGCTTCCGTCTGGCCACTCTACCATAAAGGCCTGATTGGTGGAGTGCTGCAGAGATGGTTGTCCTTCTGGAAGGTTCTCCCATCTCCACAGAGGAATTCTGGAGCTCTGTCAGAGTAGCCATTGGGTTCTTAGTCACCTCCCTGACCAAGGCCCTTCTCCCCTGATTGCTCCGTTTGGGTGAGCGGCCAGCTCTAGTGTTACGAACCCCGTGGCTTTAAACGTCTAGGGTGGATGGACATGAGACCCGTAACATAATTCATGCAAATTATAAGCGTGACATGGAACAGTGAGAACAAAAACTACACGACAACCATAAACTACCGTCAAACATAAAAGGTTTATTTTTGAACACACGGTAAAGGTTTGGGAAAAAGGGCTGAGCAGGACCCAAGAAATGAAACAATAGTGTAAAACACCCCTAAACTGATCTTGCCTGCCTCAAGAACCGCTAAGCTACTGCTAATCATACAAAAGTACAGTGGGTGGTCCGCTCAGGTCTAACTAGTGTTTTTAGACAGTTTTCTTCCTACGGGTAATGTACGCCCAAGGGCAACTTGCTTAAACTCCCCTTTTCCCAGAAACACACAAAGTTACCAAACAGAGTAACCAGCAAATGAGTGAGTACACAAAACACAGGACACCACAGTATCCATACTCACATACGGAAAATAGTCTAACAACAAACACAACTGACCGGCTTTTAAACAATGGGATGTGTGATTGAAAAACCAGAAACAGGTGGTGCAATGCAGAGGAATGTCCACTGATTGGTCCACCTCAGCAATCAGCAGACACCCCAACGACCACCAATCAGGAACATACAGGACACCTGTGATTAGGGCAGAAGGAGAGGAAAAACACAAAAAGACACAGGATACCTGTATCCGTAACATAGGAAGAGTCTTGGTGGTTCCAAACTTCTTCCATTTTTAAGAATGATGGAAGTCACTGTGTTCTTACGGACAATTCCTTTGACCATGGCTTGGTTTTTGCTCTGACATGCACAGTCAACTGTGGGAGCTTATATAGACAGGTGTGTGCCTTTCCAAATCACGTCCAATCAATTGAATTTACCACAGGTGGACTCCAATCAAGTTGTAGAAACATCAAGGATGATCAATGGAAACAGGATGCACCTGAGCTCAATTTCGAGTCTCATAGCAAAGGGTCTGAATACTTATGTAAATAAGGTATTTAAAAAAATATATATACATTTGCTAAAATGTCGAAACCTGTTTTTGCTTTGTCATTAAGGGGTATTGTGTGTAGATTGATGAGCAAAACAAATGAATTTAATGAATTTTAGAATAAGGCTGTAACCTAACAACATTTTTTTGAAAAAGTCAAGGGGTCTGAATACTTTCCGAATGCACTGTACCTACAACTCAATGTATTGTTTTTTAAATTGAAACCTCTTTAATTAGGGTCAAATTTGAAAAGCCTGTGATTAACTAGATACAGTTTTTAAATCCTTTGACAGCCCTAATTATATTATTGAATGTTAGTAATGTGTAACTTGTATAATTTTTACCTGCGAATAGTGCTAAATGTCAATAACATATAAGTAGTAATGTAGTTATTTTCTCTTATCTGTGTCTCTTAGGGTTTGTGGGGTTGTTCAACCTGCTCCTCCTGTGGCCAGGGTTCCTTGTGCTTCACTACACGGGCTTCGAGGCCTTTGAGCTGCCCAGCAAGCTGGTGTGGATCTACATCCTCATCAACGGCCTCATCGGTACCGTGCTCTCCGAGTTCCTCTGGCTCTGGTGCGTCTCGGTTGATGGAGGGATTGAACGGCCACATATTATGTATACTACTCCTTGTCCGCTCTGCTATTAACACTGTGCGGAAACACACACTGTGCAAAAACCAGTTTCTTTATATCCAAACTTGATGTCTGTGTGCGTAAATTGGACTTGCACGTAAATCATGCATTGATTTCAATGGGAGATTTGCGCGAAAATTCTACTTACCCGGACAGATCTCGAAAAACTATCTACCAAATCTATTCATTTTAAAATATTGATTGCTTCTCCTTGGCAATATCATTCATTTAATAAGACAAGACGTGAAATGTTTTATTTTTGCTGACGTATGGGAGTCTCTGGGTCGCCGGTGTGCCTGGGAGGGGGTCCTGGGCAAGAAAAGGTTGAAGACTCCTGCTATAGGGTGATATGCAGAGTTGTGCCCGAGTGATAAACATTTGATTTATTGTGTAAGAGGAGCATTTTGCATTTGATTGAATTGCTTGTGTTCTTAATAATGTTGTGTGTTCTTTCCATAGGGGCTGCTTTCTCACCTCCTCCCTAATAGGCACTCTGGCCCTCAGCCTCACTATCCCACTCTCCATCATAGCAGACATATGCATGCAGAAGGTAAGAGGGGGCACTATTATTGCCGGACGCACATGTTGCCATCATACCCTTTAGCATGACTGGTCTACCAAAACTGGTCTACTAATAGTGGCACTCGGTTGTGATGGATGCTTTGTCACATGCCACTTAGCGTAATTCCGTTTTGTGACAGGGTATCATCTAGCGATGTGATGAGAGAACTTTGTCTGTCTGTCTGTGGGTCTCAAACTTTGAAACTGCAGAGTCTATTCCCTTAGTAGAGTGCACGGATATAGCATAATTTGAAGTTTCAAATTAGCATATATTTTTGTGAGGAAATAGTTTGAAAAGTTGATGTCAAGTCACCAACTCTCAGTACAAGTACAATGCACTACTCTTCTATGAATCAGTCCTTCTGAGATGGTTGGGATTGTTATACCTGTAGCTATTATTGATTCTTAAAAGCGTAAGTACATTGCAAGTATTGGAATGTTTCTGACCCATTGTTAGGCAGCTCGCACTTAAATCTATAAGTGTGCTATATAAGCAGCTATCGCATTCTGCACTGCTATGTTTCTGTCCCCAGGTGCGTTTCTCCTGGCTGTTTTTCGCTGGAGCGGTTCCCGTATTCCTCTCCTTCTTCATCGCCACTCTGTTATGTCACTACAACAACTGGGACCCTGTCATGGTGGGCCTACGAAGAGTGTTTGCCTTCATATGCCGCTCGAAACACCGGATTCAAAGGTATTAGGGAAAACAATTGTTACTCTTTGTATTGTACTGTTAACTTGGCCGATGCTTTGCAAGGTTTTACTTTCACAATAATTGTAAAAGCACACATGCATGTACGAACACACACACAATCACTCTTATATTTTCCAAATCTTTGTTATAAAGTCTCTTCCCTAATAAAAAGCATGAGCTGGCGCACACCCAGAGAACATCACTTAGTGTAGAGGTGCTGACTAATGGAGAATAAACTGTAAGCTATAAAAACAAATAGAGTCGCACACTATGTATAAACTTTTATTGGGTAAAAAACCACCAACGCTTCGGCATCACTGTGCCTTCTTCAGGTTAATGTCATGAATGCTTCAACCTTGTTATGTGAAACATAAACACAAACAGTGCAATTAGTGCAACCAATGACAATAGTGAGGGGTGTGTCGTAATTGCTAGGTGAATCAGAATGAATTAAGCAAAAACTGTAAGACAATAGCCCACAGCATATTGAATAAATTATGCCATTGTTATCAATATCATTAGCATCAACATACATTGTTAATTTTTTTTTTACATATATATTTAAATGTTTCCAATTTAATTAAATGTTTTTGTTACATGTAATCTTTTGGTTAAACCATATTGCATAATAAGTATCATCAACAGGGGGGAACATATTGGGTGTATGCTGATAAGCTGTAGAACGAATACATTCATTTTCAAGAACTGTTAACAAAAAATATAATTGGTCATAAGAAGGGCCTGAGATCAAAGTCAATATTCAGACCACTAGGGGTTAATGTTTTTAAGTAGGATATCCAGTAGGCCTCCCTCTGTAGTAGTAGGATATCGATGTTACCTCCTCTCCTTGGTAGAGCAACATGCTCAATGCCTGTGTATTTGAGGGAGGAGATAGGATGGTTAGCTTCAACAAAGTGAGCTGCTACTGGATAGTCAGTGTTCTTACACCTGATTGAGCTGCGTTGTTCAGCTATGCGTTGTTTTCATTGTCTTTTCGTTTGTCCTACGGATGCTTTCCCACATGTACAGGTGATGAGATAGATTACTCCCTTTGTCTTGCATGAGATGATACCCCTAACAGGGATTTTTCGACCTGTATGTGGGTGTGTGTGAAGGATGTTTTTGTAGTGCTATTGCACTGTGCGCATGAGCCACATTTGTAGTTCCCATTTGGAATATTGCGACCCCCACTTATATACCAACAGTGGGGGTTCCTTGAAGAGGTGTGCAATTATTTTGTCTGATTGCAGAATATGCCAGCGCTTTTTCAGGATTGCTTTCATTTTCTCAGAACACTTGGTGTACTTAGTGCAAAACACTGTTGCGTTGTTTTTCTTCTTTGGTTTAGTTTTTAGCAATTCCTCTCTTGGTTTTTGAGATATTTTCATCATTGCAGCATTGAGAGTTTTGTCCTTGTAGCCTCTCATTTTGAATGTATCTGTCATTTTCTTAGCATTGCTGTCAAAATCTGACTGGTGGCCACAGATTCATTTAAACCTGCATAACTGGCTATATGGTAGACCATTCTTGAGGGGAAGGGGATGCATACTATCCGCACGTAGCAGGGTATTGCAGTCTGTGGGCTTTGTGTATCAGTCTGCATGTAATGCATCATTCTCTTTGATGATCCATAAGTCCAGGTAATTTATTTTGTTCTTATCAGTCTGCATGGTGAATTTGAGATATTCAGAGCTCTCATTTAATAGAGTTTGAAATTCATTTAGTTCCTGCTGACTTCCTTCCCAGAGCACAAAGACATAATCTATGTATTTCTTCCATAGGAGGATTTTAGAAAGTAGGGGGTGTGTGTCTTTTGTAATTGAGTGCTTCCTCAAATTGTCCCACATTTGAGGAAGCAAAAGGGGAGCCCATGCCTACACCCCGAATTTGAAGGAAAAAGTCTGACTCAAAGATGAAGTAGTTATTGGATAATACCAGTTCAGCGAGTTGCAAGATGCAATCATTGGATGGCACAAGGGTAGGGTCTCTCTGCTGAAGGAAGTGTTGCAGTGCCTGCAAGCCTCCAGTGTGTGGGATGTTAGTGTACAAGCTCTCCACATCAAAAGTGGCCAGCAGGGTGCCCTCTGGTATCCTTCCTAAGCCCTCTATCAATGAGATCATGTGACTAGTGTCTTTGACATAAGATGGGAGATTCTCAACCATCGGTTTAATGTGGTAGTCCACAAACTTAGAAATGTTGGACGTCAGAGTCAATTGCTGCTACAATGGGTCTACCTGGGGAGGAGACACTTGTTTGTGTAATTTAGCGACTGTATAAAAAGTTGGTATCTTAGGAAATTTCACACCTAGAAATTCACATTATTTTTTGGTTATTTGTCCTGATTCCAAATAGCTTTCCACTGTGGATGTGATATTTTGCTGGAATTCTAGGGTAGGCTTATGATTCATTTTGTGATAGAAGTCACCTTTAGATAGTTGTCGGAGACATTCATTCACATAGTCACATTTGTTTTGTATACACATTCCTCCTCCTTTGTCAAATTTTTTTATGATAATCGAAGGATCTAATTGTAAGTCCTTAAGAGCCATTCTCTCATCTCTACTCAGGTTATCATAGGATTTGTGTTTCTGTTTCTTTCAGTAGGTCATCTACATAATTTTCAACAATCCTGCAGAAGGTTTCTATGGATGTTTTTTACCAAATAAATTACTGGGAGTTTATACATAGTGTGCAACTCTCTTTATTTGTTTTTATAGCATAAAGTCTCTTCCCTGATATTGAATCAAGGACAATGGATAGCATTGGTTCCTTTTAGGCTTGCGGGGTTCGTTGTAGTTCAATTTGTTTGTCTTTATGACATTCATTTATTTGCATTATTGTAATGGCCGTCAATTCTTATCTGAATGCTAGTTGTTCCCATTCAGGTAGTGATTATGATTATGATCATGATCATGATATCCTCTTCCGTCAGATTGCCAGAAGATAGCGAACAGTGTGAAAGCCTTATTCCCTTACACACTGTCTCCCATGACAATGAAAGCTTCTGCTCGTGATCCACCAGCCAATCACAAGGTAAGGAGACACCCAACTTCCTGTTTTGTACGCCCTGTTACAATCTGAGGTTACCTGTGAAATAATAATGAATGTTTTTTTAGAACTGTTACTTACAAACTAGTGTTTTCGATCAAGTAGTATACAGAGAATGGCCAATTTACAGTATTGAGGAATAGCTGCATAACAGACACAAACATTTCCTAATTTTGTCCTATGCTATTTGCCGCCACATCAGGAAAACACTAGATTATCTCGCTTCTTATAATCACATAATTTGTTTGTCTTTGAACATCTGTTATGCATTTATCTAGGCCTACTTTATTCAATGTTTAGACATAGTGGCGAGTGAGAGAGGTAGGACATGACGTAGAGGATGATCATAATGTAAATATTTTAGATTAGACCCATCGCCCACCCACTCCAAGGAATCTGGATTTTACCATGAAAAAAATAAGATACTACGTTTTATTGGTTTTCGATACGTTTTAAATGATGTGCCATTGGTGCATGCTTTATTAGAGCTACCCAAAGATATTGAGTACTTATTCCTATCCTATTCTGAGCTTCCAGGCTATCCAGGATTTGTTTGATAAATACCCTCCTAGTATTCTGCTGGATTTATGCTGATGATGATGTAGCTAGGTTTTTATCAAAGAAACCAGCTGAAGGCTGTCAGTGGTTTCCATAGCAACAATGGTGACTTGATCAAAATGCGTTAGAATATAGGAGTACATCTATTTGTACCCTCCTTGGGGCATCAAACAGCCCGACATCAGCAAGATGAAAAATGTAATCATTTGAGTGAACAACAGGCACATGAAATGGATGTCTCTCATCTCGCCCCTTTTTAAATCAGAGTAAGTCCATTACAGGAAACGGACAACATCTACCGTGTGTGTACAGTGCGTTGGTGCGTCTACTCATATCGGTTTCCAATAGAGAAACGAGGTGTACTTTCTCACCTTTGTGTCTTTCTCTCACCAGATGGTGAATCCAGCGCAGAGCGGCACGCTGAAGGTGAAGTGACAATCTCCAAGCGACCAAACAGAGACCTTACCCCCAGTGCCTGTTATTCAACCTATTTATTCTCTGCAGTGTGGAGATGACCGATCCATCTCTACAAGATGAACTATTTTTTCCTTTGTACAATGTTGACGCGACTCGTCGTCGACTGAGATCGTGTGTGTTTTGTTATGTCGGATATCGTTGTGTAAAAAGAAAAACTTAATGGTACTGAAAGTGCTTTTCTCAATGGTTCATAATGTTATGTGGCCACTTGAAATGGTACGAGTTTAAATAATGGGACAGAGGCTTCAGTCAGGCCATAAGAAGAAGAGCAAGGTCACTTCTCTTGTGGAAGCGATTTGAACCAATAAAAGGGGTATTGTCTTTGTTCCAAAGAGAAAAGTGCTCCGATTGGCTAATGTAGATGTATCCTCTTGTTGGTTTTCTATAGCCTCACTGCTTGTTCACAGGTGTGGGTTTGGAGCAGGAAAAATTCAGACCTGCTAATCTAGAAATAGTATGGTTGGAACAAGTTGGTCATGGACTTCATTATCAGGCCATTTAGGTGACTTACAAATCTGATTTACCGATCTGGCCATATTCACAAATGGTCTCAGAGTAGGAGTATTGATATAGGATTCGTGTAGCCTTTTAGATCATAATAAATATGATTATATGGACAGGGAGGACCTGTACTAGATCAGTACTGCTACTCTGAGACACTTTTTGAATACAGGCCCATTTGTGCAGTGCTTGCTCCGAATCACTGTGAACATGCAGTCTCTGAAGTTTGAGATTAGAAGAGAGCTGAGCACAGCTGTTGACTACCGCCTTTGATTTCTCCCCCATACTCTACATCCCTCCATCTCTAGCCCCTGGCAGCCAGGCAATGCTGGATCATGAAGGAAAACTGTGATGAAGACGTTTGTATGTGTTTGAATGTGAACTAACACTAACCCCTCAACTAAACTAAGCTACAATACAAAAGTTATAATGCTGCTGCCTTTTCAACCGAAAACAGTTACCATCTCAAAACAGGTGTAAATACTGTACTACGCCATGAAATGCAAATAAAGTATTGTTACTTTAGTTTGTATTTCGCATAATGACCCTTCTATACAAATCTAGCCTATATGTTCAGATGTTTTAGTCCACATTTTTTGGGGTAAATCTTGACTATGTTATGACACTAAAAAAGGAGGCATGGATTTAAAACAGACCAAGTAAATTGATTTTGCAGTATGGTTAACAAAAACACTATTTATCATCCAATTAAGTTCCCTTAGTCTTAATAGAGACAATTAGCTAATAATGATTTTCTACCACTCCTCGGTGGGCATTAGGTGCCACGAATGGAGACTTGATCGGATTTGATTATCTTTCAACAATTCTGTTAATGGACCATTTTATGCCATGAAAATGTTTGTATGTCCAACAATTGTATTTGAGACATTTTGTTTGATCAGCACATACAATGCAAATCAATCACCCACTCCCTCTTATTCTGCTGATGATTTTAATTTGATGAGTAAAAGCATATTTTTTTTAGTTTATCTAACCGTTGATGTACACCATGACAAGGGGCATGTTATCAAAAAATTTCCACCAGCTGTCAACCAGTGTACAGAACTTTATGGAGTGTTTGCCCAGTGCTCAGTGTGGATAGGAGACATTTTATGACTGGAGATAACTGCAGGAAGTAATTACTTGCCCTGTAAACTGTAAAAAAGTTTAGCCCCTCAAGAGCCATCTTTAACTTTGTATAACTCTGTTTTATTTTCACATTGTCTAAAAAATGTTATACCCTAGACAATAGCTTTTATCACCATCAGCTATGATTAATGCACCAAGGAAGTCAGCTGTGAGATGTATTTGGTTGTTTAATTCACGGGGTTCCTGTAGTCTATTTATACTTGCAAAAACCCCAGAAACTCTGAAACTATACGTCCTATGAAAGTTGATAAGCTAAAGTTTAGATATGAAACAAATGATCATATCCCCCATATCATCCATTTGAAGAGTTTATTATCATGTTTTTAAAATGTATGCGTTTTCAAAAATGAAAATCATATTTTTTCAATGGTGCTTACGAAATGTGCGTATATCGTATTTTTTTTTATTTCTCAGGTACTTTGTGGAAGACTGACTTTATTTTCCTTTGTCCAATTTGTTTTGATAATTTCCCTTTTTATTAATGGATCTCTTTTTAAAATATGTATACAGATTTATAAAAGTGTGATCATCATAGTTTACTGTATCATCACAAGCTCTTTTAAAGGAAAGATTCACTCATTTTGAATGTTATATCGTTTTTGTGCATCTCTGAGCGATGTTCTATCGATTCCATCGATTCCTGGGATCATGCACAAAAACGATATAACAAAAAATGGGTGAATGTGAATCTTTCCTTAAAGAGTCTTTGTTGTTCCGTAAGTCCTTTTTCAATGTTATGCTGCACTATTAAAACTATGTGAAGATGTATTTTCATTCTTGTCTCTGCAATAATTGTGTTTTCAATGTAGGCACTACAAAAGACCCAAGGCTAAACTCAGCTCAGGACGACTTCTGAGTGGTGTACTACAACGCGAGATAGAGGAGTCATAGCGAACTAACTTTGGTCAACTCTGACTTTAACTCGGGATAACCGGTGACAAGAAAGTGGCTTACCGTTTAGACATTTTTCTATGGCAATGAATCCTTCAGAACTAACCTGCTCCGCAGCAGGCTAACTCTATTTACCCTGAAAGAAGTGTCTGAGCCGCGAGTTGAGGATAAGATTCCCTCGGTCTCGCAAAGATTGCGTCATCATCCCCTTCATGACTCATATTGGAATAGCCTGCAGAACTATTTGCATCTTGATTCCCTGTTACTGCCAGGGCAATTTAAGAATAGTATTACATGTGTTGAATGAGAGTTGCAGATGTTTTGATTGAATTAAGAAATGGTTGTGGTTGTAATGTTGTAACTTGTAGTTTATTATTTATTTATTTTTTATCTTTGTTAAAGTGTTTATTTTGTAGTTGTATTGCTGTGTTCGGCACCTTTTAATAATGAGACCCTAGTCTCAATGGGTTTCCCCTGACTAAATAGAAGTAAAATAAAATGGTATTAATCAAATGTTTTTTTGTTAAATAGTCATATTAAAATGCCTATTACATTACACATTTAGTATTAACAGGATGCATGTGCAACTTAACGCACAGTAAAACTTTTGTATGACTTAATGGCCCAGTGCAGTCCCAAGAAAATTGTGTTTTATATATACTTACACACTATGAGGTTGGAATAATACTGTGAAAATTATGATAATGCCCTTTTTTAAGAGCTGTTTGAAAAGACTGCCTGGTGGGATGGAGTTTTGGCCTGCCTGGTGACACCACCAGTCAGTAAATTGGTTAATAGACCAATAAGAAAGAGAGTTCAAACCTCTGCCAATAACAGCTAGTATTCAGTTTTCCCCTCCCTACTCGGACCACTCCCAAACAGTTCTAGCTAAATTCTTGCTTGAGAAATTGCTCTTTGCTAAGATTTAATTTTAATTTAAAACAAGTCCCAGTAGGGTACTTAATTGTTACCCAGAAATTATTTGATATTGAGATAAAAACCGCTGCATTGGACATTTTAATAAATATGTATTGATAGGAGTGGGAAAAAAAGGTGTTTGTGCATTGATAAAGCACACCAAAGATGGCATTAACGATATGTAATAAAAAGAAAGATGGCACTTCTAATAGCCTATTTTACACCGTAGCCTGCTGAATATGCAAGATAACTTATTTTATTTTGATTTCGGCAAAAATGTTCACTGACTGAAGAGTTTGGCGTTCGACTTGCCAAGTGCGACATGAATGTGCAGCTACAAACCCGTCTTGAGCACGTTCGAGTAAGTGGCGGGTGCAAAATCAATATCCACCTTCGTAACATGAATGAAGCCTGAGCTGGAATGTGAAGCTAACTGAAGCTAGCTAACTTGTAGTTGGTGTGTGACATTCCC